TCTGAACATCCACCTGTGGCTGGGGGGCACGCGACCCACGGGGAGCAGGGCCTGGGTCTGCCCCTGGGGGCCTCGCTGTGCATCCAGGGTCCAGGAGGACTTGGGTTCTCCTTCCTTAGTCAGAATGAACCGGTCCAGTCCCTCCCATGAGCCACACTGGAGGGTCACGGTCCCTCCCGAGGTCACCACAGGGCTCGGCAGGGCTGAGAGGGTGGGTTTCCCGTGGGCCCCTAGGAGAGAAAGAGGGAGCTTGTGAAATGGGGCTCACACCCCCCTTTCCTCCTCCAGGGCTGGCCTGTGAGAGTGACACACCCCTGAGAGCAGACCCCCTTCCTGAGGGCAGAGCCTGAGGCTGGGACCCCCGAGTGTCCTCTCACCTGTCACCACCAGTTCCAGGGGGTCACTGTGCTCTGACCAGCCAGTGGGGCTGCGATAGTAACAGTGATATCTCCCTGCGTAGGACTGTGTCATGTGTGAGATTGAGAACTTGCCCTTGTCCCCGGGCTCCAGTTGGGGCTGTCTCTCCCAGGGAGGTGAGCTTCCCTCTTTATCCAAATGGAACTCCCGGGCCCTCAGGGTCCCTTGACACCGGATGGTCACGGGGCTCCCCCAGGGGATCACAGAGCCTGGCTCAGCCCAGATGGTGGGTTTGGGGAGGGTCCCTGGAAGGACATCAGAGGCTGGGTCACAAGACATCCTCACCCCACGGTCCCCAGCTCTCAGCCCCCAACCTCCCAGACTCCCCCTGCTTCAGCCCAGAACTGCTGTTCCCCACCCCATTGCCTGGGGTGGGCCCCTTGTCCCCATGAGCAGGAGGGAGCTGGGACACCTGGGGACAGACTCACCTGCCTGCACCTGGGTCCTCAGACCCACACTCAGCCCTGGAAGAGAGACCCCTGTGAGAGGTTCGCCCTGAATCCTGAGCAGCGCCTCTCCTACCCGTGAGCCTCCTGAGTCCTGGGGTCTCCTTAAAGAGCAGCCTGGCTGTGGGGAGGGGTCCCTCCCTGGCTGGGGCTTCCCCTCCCCCTCCTCCATCTCACCGAGGCAGAGCAGGGCCGTGAGGCTGGGGGTCATGGCGTCTCGTCCCTGTGGTCCAGGCGGTGCAGATAGAGGAGACCACGGTGCCCTCAGGACGGAGACCCGAGGGTGTGTCCACTGGGAGGCTGGTTCTCCCCGTCACGGGGCTGTCACGTCAGCAGCCCCACAGGAAGGGGAACTGCCCCTCCCCAGGAGCCTGGCTGTCATTCCCATGACAGACCCGGTGTCTTCCTGAGACGCCCCTTCCAGGTGAGGGTGACCCGAGCACGTCCTTCCCTCTCAGAGCCTCCCCGTTGGGTCTCCTTCGTCCTCAGCCGGGTCCATCAGCAGGTCCCTGTGGGGTCCTCACCATGGACAGGGGTCCCCCAGGCCCTGGCGATGCTTCAGGGAGGATGCAGGTTCCTGCTGCACCGCGGAGCTCAGATCAGCAGAGACACACGTTTAACATCTGCCTACAGCTCCGTGGAGGTCAGTGTGGCGGTGAGCACAGAGGAGAAGTTCGGGGAAATAAGGAAGGAAACATGCCTGCTCCCCTGGCCCCAGAGTGTGGCTTTGCTCTGTGTCTCAGCCCCCTTCAGGGACTTCTCCCTTTTTCTTGAAACAGCCTCCACCCCACCTTCCTGGGAGCAAGCCCCTGAGTCGTTCCTTCCTCCTCGGTGCCCCTTGATCCTTGGACAGGGCTCCGTCCTCCCCGTCCTGTCATCCTGCCTGGAAGCTAAGGGGACCTTGATTTGAGTTAGAGGTCTCAGTTTGAAGGAAAACATCTCTATTTAAATCTGTCCCCACTGCTCTTGTGACCGTGAGGGCAGTGCCCTTTCTGAGCCTGAGTTTCCTCCTCTGCATGTTGTCACGAGCCCCACTCCTCAGAGTGGCTGTGAGCTCAATGGTGTCAGGTTCATTGCACGATCACCATTGTTAATTTCCAGAGCAGGTGGCAATAGCAGTGGATGGGACATGAAAGGATCCTGGGCTCAGACTCCACGGCAAAGTGGGTGATTGTGGTGCCCACCTAAGAGCCCTCCTCTGCTCCTAACACTGAGAAATGCTATTTTGAATATTTCTGAAACACGTACCCACAGACATGTGCAGAAAAAGGGAAAGAAAGTTCCCCAAATGGAGAGGGAACCAGACCAAAGAAGAGGGAACTGGGCTGAGTGGCCCCCGCTGGCCGGGATCGTCAAGGGGGTCATAGGGAGGAGGTTCCCGCCAGTGTGGACAGAGAGAGGGACCCAGGTCCTCACAGGCAGGGAGGGGTCAGGGCTCCAGGTGAAGGTTGAAGCTGTGGCCCCACTTGCCCGCGTTTCTGGACGGGCACTGGGAGAGCTCTGCTCACTGCCCCAAGCCCGTGGTCAGCACTGAGCCACCTCCCCTGTGTGGCGTGAAACAGACTCAGTCCACGATTGTCAGCCATGGGTGTCCACCCTCGTGAGAGTGTGAGGGTCCCATTGGGCCATCCCTGAGGCCACAGCTGTGAACAGATGCTAAGTCTGAGACGGTGGGCAGCACGGGGCAGAGCAGTTGCAGCAGTCTCCCCTGGTCAGCCTGACTCCCAGGACAGCCCCGGGAGAAGCCTTCTAGGAAAGACCGGGGGTGTGAGGGCAGAGCCTTTAACAGGAGTGGACATCACAGTGACCCTAGTAATGATGACAGTGCTATGGACAGCCGTCTGCTGACGAATGGGGGTGTCCTAGGCAAGGAAACAGAATCAGTAGGAAACCAATAAAGAGGTGAAAAAAGATACAGAACATACTTGATGTGAATATCTTGATTGTATCACAGCACAATTAGTGACTTTGCTGAAATAAAAATATGCCAAAAAAGAGTAGGAAAATATGACAGTCGATTTAAATTAAGCGTGTTTAAATATCTGAAAGATAAAGGGAGGCAACCATATGGATTATTTTATAGAAGAACTGGCAGTTATTGAAAAGAGTTAGGAAAGGTAGAGATGGCAAATCCAGTAGAATGAACACTTTAAAAAATCCCATCCCATCAAGGACAAGACAGCTGAGGGACCAATTATGAAATTGAATGCAATATTGAGGAAGTGTTCCAGAATGAAGGTTAGACAGAAATGGATGTCATCCCATCAAGGACAAGACAGCTGAGGGACCAATTATGAAATTGAATGCAATATTGAGGAAGTGTTCCAGAATGAAGGTTAGAGAGACCAGAAATGGAAATTCAAGATACTTGGGGAATAGAATGAGGAGGGCCCACGTCATATCTATCGTAAGTGTCAGAAGGAAAGGTCATGACGTATAACAATGGCCAAAGAAATGAAGAATTGAACATGTTTCAGAGATGAGGACAAGCCAACTAAGTGCTAGGACCCATGGATTTAAAAGTGACATCTGTATCTTGACCCTTCATGGTAAATTAATAAAATGAAGGTTAAATTAAAAAAAAAAGTATCTCAGACTGGATTGTACGCTTCGAAATGGTGAATTCTATTTTGTGAAAATTTCAACTGAAAAGAATCAAGGACGACTGTCCTGAGGCCCTACAGACGTCCTGAGCCTAATTCCTTTAGGAAATGCAAGTTACCATTAAGAGAACGACAGGCTCATTGGAAGCAGACTACCCCGTACCAAAAGGCCATGCCAGGAGATATTGGAGAAATACCTTCAGGGAATTCACTGGGGAGAACTTTACACTGAGCCAAATTATCTTTAAGGGACAAAAGTGAAAGGCTCATCAGAGGGTAAATCCCTAAATACGAGGAGATTCCAGCCACCACATCTGACCTGTGGGAGCTGTGTCCGTTCCGCTAAGCCCACCACGTCAGGCTGCGTCTTCCTGAGAGATAAGGAGGGTTCTGGTGGGGATGGATCCCTTACCCATCACGTGTATGTTCCTATCCTAGTAGTTGAGTCACACACTTAGTGTGAAATAAGAAACGTTTTCAAGTAACTTGATAAAGAGAGAATGAGAGTGAAAGAAGGCATTTCCAGAGACTCAAGCTCTTAGATATTTTACTATTTTCATACTCAGTGAAAGGAATACTAAGAGATGTAATGGAGAAAGTGAGATGTAACGTGAGAAAAAAATGGTAAAACACTGAAAAATTAACACAACTTGTACACACACGCACACGTGTGCACACAGACACACAGATGTGCACACGCACGTACACGTGTACAGAGTACCCATATTTCTGGTAAAGTCTAATGAGAACGTTGTCCTCTCTAATGGGGAAGGAGAATGCATAGTTGTTTAGGAATAAAGATGTAAATACCTACGTTAACATGGGAGTAACAGCCTCAAGCTAGAAATGGCATAACTACCAATGTGCTTGGTGTAATTAAATGAAAGAAAAAATTTTCAGCTTTATTGAGATATAAGTAACAAAAATGGTGTATATTTAAGATGTACAACTTAATGTTTTTAAGTATTTAAAAAACATTTATTTATTTATTTATTTATTTATTTATTTGGCTGTGTTGGGTCTTAGTTGTGGCACGCAGGATCTTCGCTGTGGCAGGTGGGATCTTTCGTTGCGTGCACAGGCTCCAGAGTGCATGGGCTCAGTACTTGCAGCTTGTGGGCTTAGTTGCCCCGTGGCATGTGGGGTCTTAGTTCCCTGACCAGGGATCCAACCTGCATCCCAAGCATTGGAAGGTGGATTCTTAACCACCGGACCGCCAGGGAAGTCCCACTTGATGTTTTTATATACACTTACCTTGTGAAATAATCACCACAATTAATCTAATTAACATATCCATGACCTCACATACTGAACATTTGTGTGTGAGTGTGTGTGTGGTGAGAACACTTAAGGTGTATCCTGTAAGCAAATTTCAAGTCTACAATGGAATATTGTGAACCGTAGTCACATCACTGTACATCACATCTCCAGAAGTTACTCGACTGCGTAACTGAAACTTTGTTTCTCGTGACCAGCATCTCCCCATTGACCCCTTTCCCAGCCTCTGGCAACTACCATTCTCCTGTGTTTCTATGAGTCTGACTATTTTAGATCCCCCAGGGAAGTGAGCTCGGGCTGTATTTGTCTTTCTGTGTCTGGCTTATTTTACTTCACATAATGTCCTCCAGCTTCATCCACGTTTCCCAAACGGAAGGATTCCCTTCTTTTTAAAGGCTGAATAATATTCCAGTGTGTGTGTGTGTGTGTGTGTGTGTGTGCGCGCGCGCGCGCGCACGCACGTATCTCACATTTTCTTTATTTCTTCATCTTTCGACAGGCATTGAGGTTGTTTCCATATCCACGCACGCATATCTCACATTTTCTTTATCTCTTCATCTTTCGACAGGCATTGAGGTTGTATCCATATCCTGGCTAATGTGAATAATGCTGCAGTGAACATAGGAGTGCAGATATCTCTCTGAGATCGTGGTTTCATCTGCTTTGGATATATACCCGGAAGTGGAATTGCTGGATCATATGGTAGGTAGTTCTATTTTTAATTTTTTGAGGAAACTCCATACTGTTTTCCACAGTGGCTGCACCGATTTGCGTTCCCACCAACAATGCATAGGGTTCTCTTTTCTCCACAATTTTGCCAACACTTGTTATCTCTTTTTTTAAATTAACTTATTTATTTATTTTTGTCTGCGCTGGGTCTTCATTGCTGTGCGCGGGCTTTCTCTAGTTGCGGCGAGCGGGGGCTACTCTTCCTTGCGGTGCGCGGGCTTCTCATTGCAGTGGCTTCTCTTGTTGTGGAGCACAGGCTCTAGGCCCGCGGGCTTCAGTAGTTGTGGCTCGTGGGCTCTAGAGAGCAGGCTCAGTAGTTGTGGCACACAGGCTTACTTGCTCCGTGGCACGTGGGACCTTCCCCAACCAGGGCTCGAACCCATGTCCCCTGCGTTGGCAGGTGGATTCTTAACCACTGTGCCACCAGGGAAGCCCAACACTTGTTATCTTTTGTCTGTTTCATAACAGCCATTCTAACAGGTGTGAGGTGATATCTCATTGTGGTTTTGATTTGTATTTCCCTGAGGGTTAGTGATGTTGAGCGCCTTTTCATGTACTGTTTGGCCATTGGGATGTCTTCTTTTGAGAAATGCCTATTCAG